ATATTAAAGTACATATCAATAATGATCAATTTATGTTATCTATCATTTATGCTGGATGTACAAGGCAAAAAAAAATTTGAATTGTGGAATCTTATTCATTCTATTAGTACTGCTCCTGAAACTTAGTTAGTGGATGGAGATTTTAATCCCATTACTTTACCAAGTGAAAAAAAGGGGGAAATCCTCCTAAATTGAATCACATTTCTGATTTCAATAATGTCATTTTTTTATGCTAATCTTTTTTATTTGGGTTATAAAGGTAACCCCTTTACTTGGAATAGAGGGAAAGGGTTTGAAAGATTAGATATATTTCTTTCCAATGCTAATTGAGCTAATAAATTTTATTTGCATGAGATTTGTCACCTTGCTATTACTGCATCAGATCATGGTCCTCTTTTATTGAAAGTAAAGGATAGTATTATTAACATCAATTATCATTTTAGATTTTTTAATATGTGGGTTATACACACTTCTTAGTTACGATTTATTAAAGATAATTGGAATTGTAATGATAAGGGGAATTCTGGTCTTAAGCTTTGGCTTTTACATAAAAATCTAGCTCTCAAGCTTAAGCACTAGAATTGGGATGTATTTGACAATATTCACAAGAAAGTTATTAAGGCGGAAAAGAGAGTAAATGGCCTTGAGTTGGATTTTCAGCAATAGAAACATCTGTTGGGATGTTTTGTTACAGGGGCAACAAGAATTAAATAGTGACATTGCTATGGAGGAAAACTTGTATGCACAGAAAACTGCTAAGCTTAAATTTTTAGATTGGCATGGAAATTCAGCTTACTATCATGTTTGTATTAAGAGTAGAAGGAATAATAATTTGATTACTACAATCATTAAATTTGATGGGAAAGTGCTTTCAACCCCTCGGAAAATTGAAAAGGATGGAATCAACTTTTTCACTGATTTGTTTAATGGTGATGGTAATATTCTAAGTTAAAAACTGAGAATTATGCTAACCATGTTAAGATTAATTGCAGGAATCTGACTTACATTCTTTCTAAAGATGAAATCCAAAAAATCATTGACGGTATGGACGATGGTAAGGTGGTTGGCCCAGATGGTTTCACTGTGGAATTCTACAAGCTGGGGATGTTATTCACCCTGAACTGATGGATACTATCCAAGATTTCTTCAGGGGAGTTGATCTACTTAAATATTTTAGAACTTCCAATCCCAAAAGAAAGTGCTACATCTTGGGATATATTTAGACCTATTAGTCTAAATACAATAGTGTCTAAAATTATTTCTAAGATATGAGTTAATAGAATTCAACATTTGCTTCATGAGCTTATTAGTTTGAATCAAAGTGCTTTAATTAAGGGGAGAAGTATTTATGACAATGCTTTAAATGTTAAAAAATGCTCGTAGACACGGAGAAAAAAAGGCACTGGTGGGAAAGTGATTTTTAAGATGGATATAAAAAAATGTTTTGATACTATTAGATGAGAGTTTATTTGAGATGATTTTCATGCTATTGGGTTTCTAGAAAATTTTTGGAAAATTATTAATAGGCTGCTTGTAACAATTTTTAATATATTTTGATTAATGGTAAAGCTTGTGGTTTTTTTTATGCCACTACAGGTATTAAGCAATGTGATCTACTATCACCTTATCTTTTCATTATTGCTTTTGATTACTTATCTAAGTGTATCAATAATTTTCTTGCTAAATACCCTAGCATGTACTATCTTCATGAAGGTATAGTTGGTATTTCTCATTTATGCTTTGCTGATGACTTAATTATTTTTAACAATGCTAATAAAAGGTCCATTAAGAATGTTTGGAAAGAAATTAGTTTTTTTCAAGATGCTTCAAGTATTTTCTTCAATACTACTAAATGTCATTTTTATTCTTCCAAACACGTTTCAGCTACTAAAAAGAATTGATGGTGGATTATACTAATTGCAATAAAGCTATTCTGCCTTTAGTTTATTCAGGCTTTACTATAGATGAGAATGGCAGAAGAAATATTCTTTTCTCTAGTTTATTCGATAAAATAAAGAATAGAATGCTCGCTTTAGAAAATATGGTCCACTTATTTGGAGGAAAAATTACTACTCTTAAGAGTATTTTTACATCTTTACCTCTTTATGTTATGCAAATCATGAACATGACGTTGAGCTTTGCTAATAAACTGGAGAATTTATTTAATAAATTTCTTTGGGATAGTAATGGAAAGCATAACATTCACTAGAAAAGTTGGAATAAAATTTGTAAACTGCTCGACAAAGGTAGTCGCCTTTAGTTTATTCAGGCTTTACTATAGATGAGAATGGCAGAAGGAATATTCTTTTCTCAAGTTTATTCGATAAAATAAAGAATAGCATGCTCGCTTTAGAAAATATGGTCCACTTATTTGGAGGAAGAATTACTACTCTTAAGAGTAATTTTACATCTTTACCTCTTTATGTTAAGCAAATCATGAACATGACGTGAGCTTTGCTAATAAACTGGAGAATTTATTTAATAAATTTCTTTGGGATAGTAATGGAAAGCATAACATTCACTGGAAAAGTTGGAATAAAATTTGTAAACCTCTCGACAAAGGTAGTCATGGCTTCAAGAGATTAAGTGATGCCATTCTTCTTAATCATATGAAATTATGATATAGATTTAGGTAAAAGAGTTCTATATGGGGTTCCCACTTGTATGCTAAATATTGCAATGACAAACATCCTCTTGCGGCTACTCAATATAAATTTGATTCCTATATTTGGAAAAGTATGCTCAAGGGTGCTAAAGTAACTGAAAATCTTATTAATTGGGACATTGACAATGGGGAAGTCTCATTCTAGTATGATGATTGGTTAGGGGATGGTAATCTTGTGAATTGCTATGGTGGTTCACAAGAAATTAATATAAATGTTAGAGACCTTTGCAATGATAATGATTATAACAAAAATATGTTAAAAAAATTACTTAGACATGATGATTTGAAATTCATCTTCAGTATTCCTGTGAATCAAGGGAAAATGAATATTCCTAAGATTACAAGTAATATTGGTGATACAATTGCTAAAGTTTTGCTAATTATTTTTCAATCTTTTCAGGGTATGGACCTCAAATGAAATTTGAATACTTGAGTAAAACCTTCTCAATCTTTCTTTATTTGGAGGCTCCTCCGTAATATTTTACCTACTGATGATAAACTTAAACTTACGCGTTTAAAAATTCCTTCATGTTGTTTACTGTGTTAACAAAATAAGGAAAATATTAACCATCTTTTTATTAAGTGCAAGTTTGTGGAGCATATTTGGCAAAAAGTTACATTTCTTTTTAATAGAAGTTTGAATGTGGGTAATTATAATGACATTATAGATTTTTATGAAGACTGAAAGTCCCTAGGACATGTTTTTTTCACTAATATCCCCTCTGTTGTCTTTTGGTTTATTTGGTTTACTCGAAACAACATTAAATTTCATAAGAAGATACTTAATGTTAATCATACTTTTAGTATGATTAACAATTACTTTTCTAATAATCTTACATTTAATGGTAATAAAGGAAAAAAAATAATATAATATATGAGGTTTATGTTAAATTCAAGATTGATCTTAATCCTTTGGTTAAAAGAAACAATTCTGTTTCTTGCTCCAAGCCGTATGCACCTGATATAAAATTTAATATAGACGGTAGTTGGAAAAATAATAAAGTTGGTGTTGGAGGTGTTTGTATGGATTTTTTAGGATTTGTTATCTGTAGCTTTGCGTCTTCGGTTGTTTTTGTATCTCCTTTAGTGTCAAAAGCGGATGCAGTGGTGTTTGGTTTACTGATAGCTAGAAAATACGGATGGAATTTTAACAATATAGAAACAAACTCTTTATTATTGTGGAAGAATTGCAGGTTACAGGAAGAGCATCATTGGAGCATAAATATACAAATGAAGAAGATTGTGGATTTAACCAAATGATGAGTGTGTGCTGGATTGATACAAGAAGGGATGGAAACAGAGTTGCGAATTGGGGCAACTAAGCTAGGCAGCTTTCTTACATATGTTGTTACTTCAAAGAATGTTCCTATAGTTCTTAACCATCTTGTGTATGTTGATTTACTTTAATCTGTTTATTGGTTTTTGTTTATCTTTGGGATCATAGGTGGAGTGAGTTTTATTTTTCTTTTTTCAGGGAGAGAAGCCTTGGGTTTTTTTTTCTTGAGTGAGTTGTTTGGAGTGTGTAGTAGATTCCTCGTGATTTTTGTTGTATTTTTTTTTTAGTTGAAATAATATTCCCTATGGGGTTTATTAAAAAATGTGTTTATTCAAATGTCCTTCCATATGCCCTAACTTCTTTTCAACCACATAAAGGCTGCATTTCATTTTACTTCATTGCAAGCTTTCATGGCCATCAAATCACAGTTTCACACCACCAAAGTCCAGCGATTTGTTGTTGTATCTGGTGAGCTTCCCTTATTACTTATAAACTGTCATATCCACTAGCCAAATTCATAATAGCAACACTCATCAATTTCTGAAGTCTAAGATAAAAAGATAAGAAAGTTATGCATCAAAAACGAGATCAACTTACACTATATGTTTCGGTCAATCATCCTCAGACTAGGAAGACAAAATAGCTATATAACCCATATCATAAAACAATACTGGCTGAAAGAATATTTTTTGGCATTTAATTTTATCGCAACATAAATTATTCATCAAGTATAACTACAACTCTCACTTTGATTTGACAATGTCACTGATAAATCTTTCGCTCCATGGACATGTCCATGATACAAAGTCAACATATTCTCAACGGACGCTAAAAAAATACATAATCTACCATACAATCGTTTAACACTCCCTAATATTTTTTCATTATCATGGCTGCCCAAGTCCGAACAACAAAATTATATTTCGGTAATAAATGCTAGAAAAATTTAAAAACCCATCCTTTTCATTTTCGAACCAGTCATGAGCAGCAACCCAAAGAAAAACACTATGACAATAACAGTAACAAAAATGATAACAATAAATGTAATAATGATGATGATGCAATAACAATAGTTTCAAAGTTAAAAGGATCATTATATTTAAATGTGCGAGGTACTTGGATTGATTCTTACAAGAACACTTACGAAGAGTATTTTTGATGTAGCAACGGACTGATAGCATTATGAAGTATTAGCCCTTACGTTGTTGAGGCTTCGGCCATCTCCTGTTCCACAGTGGCAGGAAAAACTGGGTAATACCTATAGTGAAGCTCACCAACATCATCACCAGAAAGCTTCTTCCAACCATCAGGCCCGACATAATAAACTGGAACAAAAGGAACAATAAATAGAAATGAAATGGATTCCATCCATACGGAACACAAGTTTAGGGCTGTGAACAACAAAAAACACTTGAACCAAGATTTTGAGCCGGATCAAAAACATGAACAATTTGGCTCTGTTAGGTTTTATCTGGCTTCAGTTCATAATTTACCAACTGAGTGAATCAGGATTGATTGATACAGGTTCTCAGGATTGTTGGGAAAGATGATTAAACTGCCGAAACTGATTCGAGGAATTCAAAGCAAAATTTTGAACAAAAGCACTGAAGGTATGAAAATCACATAAAACACAAAAACACAATCTAATGTGGAAAAACCAGAGAACATGAAAACTTTACGGAGTCACACAACACTAAGAAATCCCCTTTGAAGAAATTGAAAAGAATTGTACAAATTACACCACAGTCAAGCATCTCCAAACTTTAGAACACTTCAGGACACTCATCTCCTCTTCTTAGCACAAGATAAATCACCCATAAATTCCAACCTGCAAAACTAAAATTTTAATCGAAGAATGACTTAAATTCAGTTACTTGTACTTGGATGTCGTGATATGGCAATGCAGTGCTCCAAGGGGCGTTGTAGTGTTGCGTTCTCCGGTTATGAATCCAGACTGGATATTGCGGCACTGTTTGTCTCTACATTGGGCCACTGCGTTTGGGCGTGCAGCGCTCCCCCTCCAAGCATTGGATTGTCTGCTCTCAGGTTCTGAACCCTAAACTGGGCAGTGATGTCTTCTTCTGAGGGTTGTGGCATTAAGTAGAGAAAAAAAAATTTAATGTAGCGCCCCCAAACCCAATATTGGGGAGACACCCCCATACACTCCCCCCAACTCACAATCAAACTTGATTGGCGAAGCAGAGAGCTCTAAGTGAACAATTGATCAACAAAATCAGACTGTAAATAATAACAATCTCCCACTCAGAGATTGATTGCAATCAATCACACTCAACTTCTTCATAATTATGAATTGCAATGTCACTCATTCTTGTATTAACCAATATGAACTCCAATTGAAACTAGACATAGCTTCAGTTACTCAGCTGTCAAGGCCTTAGTCAATATGTCTACAGGAGTTTGAGTTGTGTGTATCTTCTTCAAAGATAAATGACCATCTTCCAAGCGGGAACGAATAAAATGATACTTTAGATGAATGTGTTTTGTCCTGACATGAAATACAATGTTCTTTACTAGACGAATGACACTTACACTGCTACTATGAAGCTTTCTATTCCCTTGCTCCTTGCAAAGTTTTGTCATAAAGCACTATAGTCAATCATTTCCTTGCAAGCCTTAGTGATGACAATATACTCAGTTTTTGTAGTTGATAGAGCAACAATCTTTTGTAATCTAGAAACCCAACTCACAATTGTGTTTCCCAAAGTGAAGTTATAATATTTTGTACTTTTTCTACAATCAATATCTCCTACAAGATATGAATCTACGTATCCTTATAATTTAATCCATACACTTCTAAAAGAAAATATTTTGTTAATTATCTCTCAAGTATCTGAGAATATATTCCACTGCCTCTCAATAATATTTGACTGGATCAATCATGTACTAACTGATCACGCCATGTGCAATATTTGAAATTGTACATAGCATCACATGTATCAAATTTTTAATCACTGAAGCATACGGAGTTCTTCTCAATTGTGTTTATTCTAATCCAAACATAGGCAATTATTCCTTAAATAGTTTAAAATGACTAGCTAAAAGGGTGCAAATTAATCTTGTCTTACATTTATTAAATTTGTGCAGGACCTTGGTATATTCTGCATAAGGCAGCTTCAATGTATTTGTACTCCTATAAGTATTGATTCTTATACCAAGATTTTTTTATAGGATCTAAATCCTTCAGTTCAAACTCCCTTGATACATGCTCCTTCAAGTCACAAATCTTCTTCATATCGGACATTGCAATCAATATATCATCCATAAGGGTGTCAATTTTGGTCAACAAATAGGGTTTGGGTCCGACTAGAAACTAACCGGACTCGAGTAGGTCCGACCTAAATATAATACAGGTAGAAAATCCCAACGTAAAATAGTTCTGCTTTCAACTTGCCAACCTGAACCCAAACAGTATAATTTGTTTAACAAAAGGAATAACAACTATTCAGGTTAAAATCAGGTAAATTTCAAATTTGAGTCAATTTCAGGTCAATTACGAGTTGGCAGGTCAATTTCGAATCAATTTAGGGTTGGTGGGTCATTTTTAGGTGGGTGATTCAACCCAAACCCGACTCAAAAAATTAAACAAGGATATTTAAATCCAACCCGACCCAAACATTATTCGGGTCAACACGATCCCAAATTTTTTTAGTCGGGCTTGGGTCGAGTTGAAGTGTCAGGCCAATTTTTGACACCCCTAATTATCCACATATAATAGAAGAACAATCCCACAAATATCAAAATATTTAATGAAGCAACGATGAACTGATTGATATTTTGTGTACCCACTGTCTGACATAAATATGTCAAACCACCTATATAAATATTTTTTTGTCAACTTCAAACCATAAAACTCATCTTCAATTTGTAGAGTATATTTTCTTTTCTTGAAACTTCAAACCATATACAGTTCTTCTAAATCACATGAAAGAAGGTTATTTTCACATCCATCTGCTCCAGACGTATATCTTTCACTGCTACTAGGCTCAACAAAACTCTGATAGTTGTCATCTTCACTATAGAAAAAAATATCTCAATGTGGTCAACTCTTTCTTTTTGAAGAAGTCCTTTCACAACAAGACTGATTTTGTAGCGCTTCCTAACATTTGATTCTCCTTTCAACCAACAAACCCACTTATTGTGCAGTGCATTTTTTAATATGAAAGTTCTGCTAATTCCCATATATGATTTGACATTTGTAAATGCATCTTATTGTCCATGGAAAACTCCAAATCGTTTGATTCACAACATAAATGACCCCATTATAGTATTGGTTCACCACTATCAGTCGGCAATATATAGAGAATACATTTTCGTCGATCATGAGATTCAACTGGGCCTCATGATTTCTGTAATAGGTGTCTTCTGAGGAACTACTTTTGCTTCATCAAATTACACATTTCTTTTCTCCATCTTCCAGAACACTACTGTCTTATATTTCAACATACTTGGAGAGGTCTTCAAAAGTAACTAGTGGAAGATCCTGCATTCTATTTCTGTCATTTTACATTTTCATTTCATTGAATGTGACATCTCTATTTTTAATGAATTTCTGATTCTAATTATTGTGGAATTTTAAATCAAATTCATTTGAGTCATTTTTATTGAAAATGCAACATATTTTGAATCAAGCTTACTTTTGAATCTTGCATCAACATGAACATATATGATGAACAACCAAATAGTTTCAAGTGAGATAGATTTATCTCCTTTCACTCCAAACTTCTTTAAGGAAAAATATTCATTGAAAGTTGTTGATAAAATACAATTTAACAGGTAAACTACTTCGTTCACTGCTTCTACCCACTAATTTAACAAGCCTACATGCAACCTCATACTTCTGACAAGCTCTCTGATAGTTCAATTCATGCGCTCAACAACATCATTTTATTGTGGTGTCCTTGAAACAGTAAACTCATGTCTGATTCATTTTGAAGCACAATAACTCCAGAACATCTAAATCATGATACTCGCCACCATTATCTGATTTGACACTTCAACTTCAAACCTGTCTCATTATTAACCATGGCTTTCTACTTTTTAAATACATCATAAACATCATATTTATATTTTAAGAAATACACGCATACCTTTCAGGTGTGACCAATAAAAATGACAAAATATAAAGAATTTTCAATAGATTGAACTAAAGTATGATCACATATATTAGTATGCACTAACACCAGTATTTTATACTATAATTTTAACCCACTTCTAGAAAATTAACATTCTTTAGCTTGTCATAAACAAAATATTCACAAAAATCTAAATTTATAGGCATTATAGTAACGGGACGTTTTGTTTGCTGAAAATGAAATGCAATATAAAAGTTTGCAGAGTAATAAGATTACAGTATATTTGAAATACTTTAGAGTTATTTTATTCATTGTAAAATAAACGTAGGATTTTATATTTTTTTGTTTGGTTTAAATTAGATTGAAAATAATGTATTTACTTGGGCAAAAGGAGGCAGACGGTTGTGTCGGACGGTGGGCAGCAGACAGTGGGCAGCAGACGGAAGGGGGTGGGCGGTCGTTGCAAGCGGTGGGCGGCCGTTGCAAGCGGTGGGTAGCGGGAGGCAGCAGCAAGGGCGGGAGGCCGAGGAAGCCAGCATCGAGTCGCTACAGGCAGCAACTGGCGAAGGTGGGATGCGATTGTGGGCAACAACAATGGGCTGCGGTAGACAGCAACAACGGACGAAGGCGAGCTACGATGGGCGTAAGCGAACGCATGTAGCAAAGTGTTGTGACGGAGGCAACGAAGGAGTGGCAAGTGGCAAGGGCTGACAGCAGCGAGCAGCGACAGCAGGCAATTGCTGCAGTGGGTAGCGGGCCTATAAAATTTTACATGAAAAATGTAATTCAAATTCGCCCAAATCAGCCGAATTCTCAATTTAGCCAAAATGAACTATAGTGTAAACTTCAATCTCTTCAAAATTTATATTATATTCATAAATTTCATATCAAAAATTTAATTTTCTCAAATTCCTATAAAAGAATTACAGTACGCTACTAATTCACTCAACTAGTTAGTCCCCAAGAAGTTAATTTTTAGAAATAAAAGACATCATGCATTTCTCACTCATATGGCCAAGTGTGTGGTGTCAGAGATCTGTATCAATCTTTGTTCCAACAACTCCATTGGATTCAAACCTCTCATTAACTAGATAAATGATGTCTTCAATGTTGCATTTGAGTCATCAACATAAATGACCTTATCATGGAACTCTGATTCACTACTATCAGTCAGCAATATATAATACAATTAAGGAGAATACCCCTGTCTCAATCGTAAGATTCTACTGGACCTCCTGACTTGAGTAACAGGTGTCTAAGGAACTTCTTTTTCTTAATTGGATTGAGCACATTTCATTTTTACATATTCCCGATAATTAATGTCTTCTATCTCGACACACTTAGAGAGGTCTTCTAAAATAACTGGTGGATGATCCTGCATTCTATTTCTATCATTGTACATCTCCAATTCATTTTCTAATAATCACTGAATTTATACCAAATTCATCTGAGTCATTTCTAATGAAAATGCATTTGACATATTTTGAATTAAGCTTATATCTGGATCCTGCATCAACATAAATATATATATATGAGGAACAACCAAATACTTTCAATTGAGATAGATTTCCTCTTTATCACTACAAGCTTCTTTAAGTAAGCCTTAATTCAAAGGTACCAATAATTTATTAAATAAACTACACTATTCACTACTACCCAAAAGTGTTTTTGGCAAGCCTGCATGCAACCTCATATTTCTTGCATGCTCTGCGAAAGTTTTATTCATGTGCTCAGCAACACCATTTTATTGTTATGTCTTTGAAACAGTAAACCCATGTCTAATTTATTTTGAAGCATAAAAAATTCTAAACATCTAATACCGATACTCACCAATATTATCTAATCCGAGACACTTCAACTTCAAACTTGTCTCATTCTTAACAATGGCTTTCCACTTCTTAAATACATCAAACATTATTTTTATATTTTAAGAAATACATGCATACCTTCCTCATGTGAACATCAATGAAAATGACAATATAGAGAACTCTTAATGGACTAAACTGGAGTTATCAGGATGCACTAACGCCAATAATTTAGACTACAACTTTGACCCACTTCTAGAAAAATTAATACTCTTACTTGCTATAAACACAATCATCACAAAAATCTAAATTTATAGGCTCTATGCTTAAAAGTTTATTTTTAAAAAGAAATGACTTCATAGAATTTTCACTCAAAAGGACAATAATGCAGTGCCTGTGACCTTACATTAAACTTTGTTCCAACAGCTCCAATGGATTCAGAGATCTCATTTATTAAATCAATGGTGCCTTCAATGTTGTCTCGAGCCGTCATCATTACACCTTTAGTCACCTTTCACGAAACAACTATGAAAGTGGTCAAATACCCCAACTTTCAAGCTGACTCAGAAATCAAATTTCTTTTTCAATGCGGAAAATGTTTAACTTCATTCAGTTTTCAGACTAATCAATTAGCAACTTGATATTATCATCATATTTTTAATAATATTGCAATTCTTATTATCTCCTAAATACACTTTCCATAGATTATTTTGAGTATAGTTTTTAAATACTTCTTTATTGGGGCTAGCATGGAAAGAAGAACCTGAATCTGCAACCCATGATTCAATAGTATGTAGGGATAAAACAAGTCACCTTAAATTTCATCTACGAAGATATTTGTAGTAAGTTTTCTACCTGAACCTCAACCAATCTTCTTCGGAGTTTTGCAGACTTTCCTAAGGTGATATTCCCACATTTCTGGCATTCATCTCTATTTTTTCCTTTCCCTAACCTGGACTTAGAATTTTCTTTGTCTGTGTTTATATCCAAATTCTTTCCACTAATATTAACATTCAAAGCAGAATTTAAAGTTTCACTACTCGCCATGTTGCAAACTTATTCATTCAGCACTAATCTCACAATATCATTAAAGTTCAACTTCATATTTTCTGAAGAGTTACCCACCAGTCCATCCCAACTATCTGGCAATGAACATAAGAGTAACAATATTCTAAAATCATTATCAAACTTGATGCCAACGAAACACAATTAGTTTGTTAAGTTATTTAAGTGTTCAACCATTAAACTATCAAGAGATGAATGCCAGAAATGCGGGTCAAAGTTGAACACAACTGTCTTATATTTTAAGAAACAAAAATTTTAATTGAAAAATGGCTAAAATATGGTTACTAGCGTCGGGGAGCTGTAATGTCACATTCTACTGGTTCTGAATCTAGACTGGTTGTTGTGGCATTGCTAATCTCGGGCTTACCAATCTCGATGTTGAGATTTTGTATCTTGGCACTCTCTGGGAGCTAGAGCGTGGAGCTAGATCGTCGTTCTTTTGGGTTCTGAAATCTAGACTAAGCAATGCGGGGCCATCTTATGGAGGATGGGTATAGAAAAAAATTCGGGGGCAGGGCCCCCAAACCCCAATACAAGGGGACCCCCACCATCATTCCACA